GCTGAGCCCAACCTTTCAACAGAGGGCTGTGATGTGCGTGACTGTGATGCGGCAAGAAAAAAGTCCAACCTGTGAGTACCAACAAGCTTGATGTGCCGGTGTCTCGCTCTGAGAGTGAATAGAGTTTGCAACAAGTCACCGGTTGCACCCGCCAGGTTCCCGAGCAGCTGCAACTTGGTTTTGAGATGTTTTCAGAGTGTAGCTTGCTTGATGTGACGACTTTTGCATGGACTCCTGAACAGTTCGGTGAAAGCAGCATTGGAATGGAAGGGGCTGCTTTGCAAGTCTTGTGTGCTCTCAAGGTCCCTTAGACTCAAGCATGAGATGCACCCATCTAAAGCAATGTTTGACATTATGGACATGTTGGGGTAGAACTTACATGCCAATTTATGTTACTTTCAATTGTTTGCGTGGCAGCCACACCTAGGACAGACGCCTGAGGGCCTGCAAGGCTGGAAAGCTCCAGGCAGATCCTATACACCGGTCATGCTTGCCAGAGGCAAGCTTGAAGAAGCTTTCTATCACATTCATTTGACACAGAAGGAACATCTTCGAACATAGGAAGCTTTTGATACATCCGGTCGCAAATGTTGCAGCTGAAGAGCTTGCGCGTTGTTCACATTTTGGCTAGTTTTTGAGACAGACATCCTGACATCCTGGGAGAACACACACATCTAGGAAACGTTTGAGAGCTATATAATTGGTCAACTTTCCTGGATGTCGGAAGAATATCGTTAGCATTCCTGTGAAGGCTTGTTGGCAAAGCATAATGGGTTAGCCCCCTTTAATCATACGTCTGAAGTAGCCATTGGCTTTCTCAGGGTTAATAGGTCCAGTCTATGTCAATTTGGTCAGTGCTGGCCAAAGTCTTCCAGGCAAATGGAATGCTAAGCATTCCACACCCTTTTGGAAAGATATGGTTCAAAGACCAAGCGCTGCCATTGAAAAAATGACAAACTCAAATCAATGTTGGACATATTGGAATGAATCATTGCCGAAGGAACCTTTGAGGCAAACGCTCAATTTGTGGAAACAATAGAATCTTGCGTGAATGCCCGATGCGCTTTCAAAAAGCGAGACATGTGGGAAGTGGATAGATTGCTGAGGTTACGAGAGCCTTGAAAGATACAAATACTTGTGTGAATTTCACCGATTGTAGCCAGGGTGTATTGCGTACAGTTGAT